CTCACTCGACAGATTTAACCCTAAACATGAAACTCACGTGTAACTCTCACGCGGTCATCACGTGTGATGTCCGCGGTGTCCGAAAAAAATGTGCTCCGTTTTGTACCTGACTAGACCCCCTGAACTACTGTCGGGTGATCGCTTAAATTATTTCCACGTTTAGCAAAAGTAAACGTGAAAGCCGAGATCTCCGAATTACGACCCGGGATTAAATTGTTTGTTATGAATATTGCAATTGCAACCGGTTTTTAATCTCATGCGGTGACCTTTTTTCAATCAGGTTCACTGTTACAGCGTTAATTCCCTGGGGACGTGGGAGTAACCAATCGGCGACCCAATTCAAATTCTGAACTGATCTGTCACATGGAAATGAGGTTCCTTGCTTGTGTGACTAGAGTTCCGTCTCGGGAGCCTTATCAAACCGTAAGCACGGTTTATTTCCTACTAGGTATTATGAGAACGGACCTCTGGAGCCAGGGTATTCAGCAGCTCTTCTCTAGGTCTCCTAGCGAGAGATATTGCCAATCATTCCTTCGAACAAACCTGTGATCCACGCCTTAAACCCCTTGAGTGAAAGATTGACTTGTTGAGAAGCCTTTTTAGATTAGCTTCTCGTCGAAATGTTTGACGTCCAGGGAGACAACTGTCTCTTGTTATAGTGCGAAAGTTCGCGGCGGATAATTTAATACTGTCACCTTATCACAGTAAGAACTTACACCATGACTTAAATTGACGGCCTTTTGAAGTTCCTCTGGTGCCAAAATGGGACAGATAAAGAGACGAGTGTGTAAATAATATGTCCTTACAGCCACAGTTATCTCCTTCCATTTTGAGTAAAAACAGCAACAAAGACAACAACAAATTTGGGAGAACGCATGTCTTGTTATAAAGTATTGTCACAGCCGGTCACTTTCTCCTTTTTAGAGGGTTCTCCATATCCACAAATGGATGGCAGGAAGATTGTAACCTTACTTTAGGACGGATACAGGATGCCTAAACCACAACATGTTGACGATGAACTGTAAGTAATTCTGTGTCTGCTTCATGGCTTTCGGAACGTTTTATTCCTATACTGAGAACCTCTCTCCATACCATAAATATTTAATAGGATCCTTAAGGATCCTGCGAGGTTTTCACCAGAGATGATTTTGGAAGTAGAAACGCCAGAATGCACAAGTCACAATTTCCTTGTCACCATTGTGGGTACTGGTCGCGTTCCGCAGATAAAGAACAGTCCAAGAGAATCGTCTATCTTTGAGACAAAATTTAGTTAACTGCAAACTCTTATTTGAAATTTTAACCAAAGATGACGAATAGGCTTTTCTGGAACTCCTTTTATTCTAATAGGCCACTTTTAAAAAACTCTCGCTTTCAAAACGAGACTAAGTGCAAAATCTTTGTTGTGAAAATGAGTTTTACTTAAATGAGAAAAGGAAAACAAATCATATCCATAATAATAATAATAATAATCATTAAATAATAATCATTAAAATTTGTATAGCGCCTATCCAGCCCTGCCCTAGTCGCTTTACACCACATTCCAAACAATAAGTAAATATTTCACTTTTCAAACAAGTAAATAAAGAATTAAATAGTAAACATATGAAAGTTATCATAAAAATGGCCGTATTAACCATAATACGCTTTTCTAAAAAAAAAGATGACTTAAGGTCAGATTTGAAAGTACTTAATAGTCACATGAACGGATGTTGTCTGGTAGACCGTTCCACAGGTCAATAGGAGCAACAGAGAATGGCTTCGCACTTAGTCTCGCTTTGCATCAGACCATTAAGATAACTCGGAAATGAACTAAAAATTGGGATGGACCGACAGAATTGTTGCTCAACATACCACGTATAATTTTTGCGTTGTGACAGGTACAAAATAATGAAACTGTGCTGGCTGGAAGACCCTAATGCAAGGCCTTCTTTTTCTGAACTGACAATAAAGCTGAAACAGATGGAAAACCGACATAAGGTACGATTTAAACAAGAAAGGCCCTGGACAATTTTGAGTCTCCCTCAAATTTGTTTACTTTCATAGGCAAGTCTGGAGCTGCAAACCTTGGGTAGCCTTATAGATTCTGTCTTGAAAACGTTCTCGTTATGCTTCGTTGGCAGTCAACTACGACCTCTCGCTATGCCTGTTTCTTATAACTAATAAAAGTGAAGAAATAGAATTGTTAACTGGATTGTTTTGTTGTCAGTTACGCGAACAAGCTGATTGTCAGAAATCAATGATTCGCCTGCGTACTTGTGAAAAGTTTTGTCTTAAAGCTAAGAGAAATAGTCCAACCAATCCTACAGCATTCGCTTCTAATAAGATTACTTAGGTTTGAAATAACCTTCAACGCAGACGTTTTCTTTTTTTTCTTTTGGCGGTTCACGCAAACAATTCCTTCTCACTGAGCCAAAGAGACGTCTGCGTAGCAGGCTGTTGATATGGCCTGTTAAATTATAATATGTTTTTTCTTTTTTATTTACAGGGGCTAATAAAGTAAAGTAAAGCTATAACAATTAGAAAACATATTTTTAGGTTCAGAAAATTAGACTGGGAATTAAATTTTAAGCGGAAAAAAATACTCAAAAGATTCATGACACTACCGTTTACCCTGAATCGCTCGATAAAGATCTGAAGTGCAGAAGATATAGTTTGTGGAGGTACTTTACTTGACCCGCTATATTATGGGCTGACAGACGAGTTTACCACTATTCAATGCTATCTAAAAAGATGCCATAACCCCTAGATAGACATGTATATACTGAATCTAGCTAGAGCCCATAGAGAAAACTCAGGGGGAAATACTTGGAGAGAAATGTTTCTATTAAGGTACCACTGTTGGTATGAAGTTAATTCCAAGGAGAATGAAATTTAAAAAAAATACAATTTTAGGAGAAAATGTAGCAATAACACCAAACAGTTACAGACCGATATATATATATCGAATAATTTTTAAATACAATTTAGCGCTGTAACCTGTTACTATTTTTATTATTATTTTTTTACTATTATTTTCTATAAATTCTATCAAGTGAACGTGATTCTTACAATTAGCTACTATTAGGTAAAAGTTGTACAGGCTGTTAAGGTTAAGTTTAGCGCGGGTATATGCGGCGCATCAAAAAGTTTGTTCCCGTAACTACTCTGGAAACAGTTTATAAGGGCTTAGTTCAGCCATATTTTGAGTATTGTTCTCCTTTGTGGGAAACTTGCGGCAAATTATGATTACGATTTCAGTCACGTGCTGCTAGAGTTCTCACAGGTGCCAGTTTTGATATTCGTTCCGCAGACTTAATTGACTCTCTTTCTTGGCAAACACTTGATGATCGACGGCGCTGTGCAAAGTCAATGTTAATGTATAAAATATTAAATGATCGCACCACCCCCAGCCTAAGGACCTCTTTTGTGAGAAGGAATGTCGATCAGACTAATTACCATCCACATAACACAGCTACTGATCTAACACTTCCTAAACCGAAAAGAGAGTTTAATCTAAAAAGAAGTTTTAGATTTAGCGGTGCTATGCTTTGGAACCAGCTCCCAAATGAAGCAAAGCTCGCTGAGTCAATCTCTTCATTTAAAAGCCTTATTAGATTATAGTACTGTTGGGTATTGACAAGCTATGTATCTTATTAGTGGTTAACTTTTTATATACTTATATGAAATAAAAATAGTATTAGTAGAAGCGTAAAAAAATTTTAGAATTAGTTTAGGAATTTTTATATGCGTTAACACGCCCTCCGTGGAATTTTTAAATAAAGTATCACCTATACCTACCTCAAATAACTATGATTATTGTATATGTCAATAAATCCGCCAAAAGATAATATGTTATTCTTTTATCATTTACTGAAAGACTGGTAGCACTAGTAAGTGCTTTAAGAAAACGTCTCACTAATTCTGCCAGATACAAATATTGCTTGAGGGCGTTTATCTTGAACCTTGAGATGATCCGGATCAGGCTGGTTATGATCAAGTTTACTTGGATTGTGGTGCATAAAAGGTACTGATAGGTCCTTTTTTAAATAGGATCAATAGTCCAGTTTCAAATTAAAAGTTACCGCTGAATACAAACATTAACGAAACATTTATCCAGGGTTAGCCTCTACGTAATCAGAAATTCTAGAAAATAAGTGTTTGAAATTTGAATATACGCAATAGACAGAGTAAGGGCCTGTTTACATGGAGGTGGGGGATCCCGGATAGGTGAGGTAACCCGCTTAGGTGGGGTAAAAACATAACCCTCCTTTACATGCAATCTTACAACCCCGCCATCCCGGGTTGCACTTTCTCAATATTATTGAATGGTCGCTAAGCACGTAAACAAAAAAATGCTGGAAAACCACGTGTTTTGGCGATTAATGCACTTCCACACTCCCTTGTTGCTCTTGCTGCAACCTTCAGTGCAATGGCTTTCTGTTGTTAACGTTAATAATGATGCAAAGCCACCACCAAAGTGAATTTTGCGCGAATTTGATGTATTCCGAAGTCGACCCCTGCCAGGTGGGTTACCCCACCTTGAAACGTTTACATGGCAAAATTTGACCCCGGCTGAGAGAGTAACCCGGTGTCTGGTAGACCGGGCTACCCGCCTTGGCGGCACCTATCATGTAAACGTGATCAATTAAAATGAGATATTACATGGACAGGCGGGTTACACCACCTAAGCGAGTTACCTCACCTACCTGGGTTCCCCCACCTTCATGTAAATAGACCCTAATAAACAGGTCTTGTTCCCGTTCGAATTTGTTAATAGATAACTTCAGATGGAGGCTAACGGCCTGTTTACATGGAGCTGGGGGACCCCAGGTAGGTGAGGTAACCGGCTTAGGTAGGGTAACCCGCTGGGGTCCCTCACCTCCATCTGAAGTTATCTATTCACTCATTTTAATTTGACGCCTTTAATGCACCATAATGTGAGTAAACTGGACCATAAATCCTGGTACCCGCCCTTATGACTTAGCTTTTCCATTCCATAGTCTGAAATTTAATCGCAAACTTTTAATTCCAGAATCCAAAATACTTTTTCATTATTATTTTAAAGTTTATGCTGTCGTCTCTGGTGACATTTCTTATCGATTTCTACTCGTCTTCTTTAACTGGAAAAGCGAATTTACGTCATTACGGTTATGGAATTGATGAGATCATTCACGAATTAAGAAAATAATTATTGGTTGCCCGGTTAAGATTGTTTATTATTTGGGTTCCTTAGCTAGGATGGGGTTGCAAAAGAGAAAGTTCCTAATTCAGACGTCCAGAGGTTAGCATCACTGTGTCTGCTTCAGCAGTAATATATATGGATTGTATGCACGCGGTGATGCTGAAGCCTGTCTCAGTTCATTTCACTTTTATCTCAGGTTATGGCTACCTTATTTAGTAAAAAAAAAAAGTAAGTAAAAATACATATATATTTCGAATGTGTTTGTGAATAGATTACATACTAATTTAAAAGAAGCCTTGGCCAGGTTTTAGAGGCTATATTACTTTCTTGGAATGCGCAATTACCCAGCCAGGTCGCCTTCCATATATGTCCTTTACTTTAAATAGAGGTATTGCGTAATGGGATATAAGAGAGGCTACATGCTGTCTTGGCGTGAAATACTTCCAAAACTTTCCTGCCTTTGACCAGCTGTGTTCAAGTTTCACTCGAACGCCTTTAAGTCCGATAACACCCTTCTTTGAGCTGCTGTTAGTTCGAAGGACTACACAGGAGTAACCATGTTGCTGTTCTCGTATTTTCTATCTTTTTCCTTATTCTGCCATCAAACAGGTTAGTGCGTAGTACAAAGTTTGAATTTGAATAGCTGAAAGGACTCGTAACTATCAACCACATGCACTATTTCAACACCCCTCATTAACAGACCCAGTGAAACCTACGTTCTTCGGCATATTCGTTTGTGGTCCTTTGCAGTCCTTTGTGGTTAATGTTTGTACCAGTGAAACCCTATCCAATGGTTTATTAAGTCTAACCAGTGAAAATTTAGCCTCCCCCGATACCCGACGAATAGTTTGTTTCCACTCGGCTGATTTTTTGCGTCCCCGCTCATTTTCTATTATTATTTCTAGACGACCATATATTTCATTGTTCATATTTGTTTAAAAGAAGCACAAATATAAAACATTATAACCATTAAAAAAATACGGAGGGCACAGGTAATCAATCTGGCATAAAAAAGTGTAAATAATTTAGTTCTTCTAGATAAGCAATTATCTTAAGTAAAAGATGTTCAAAGTTGCAGTAAAGATGTAAGGCCTGTCACCCCTTTCCACTTTTATGGGAAGTACACAACTAAGAAGAAAAACCTGGTAGAAAATAAACCAATCCAGTGACGTTTTCTCTGAGCCCAGTGAAAATATAGATTACTCAAGCATGTTAAGGCATGGCTTGTGGCTAATTTGCATAAAAATCTTATATGATCATAACTTTGTGGAAATTTATCAGAACCTTCCAAAATTTGGAAACCTCAGAAAAATCGGTAACCTTAATTTTCCTGTAAGGTAAGAAATCAGATATCTGTGTCACGTGACCACTTATGGTCGAGTCCAGGAAAGAAAAGAAAACTAAAAATGGGGTGGCGAGATGCCACACAGTATATATTAGATACAGTATTTTTGCTAATGTATCATCATTTCTCGCTTCAATCTGGCCAGAATGGTTGAGTCACGCATTTATTCAATTACTAATTAAGCAAAATAGGTCACGTGTTGGTCACGTGACACTTTTCACCTGTTAATATCTTACATATAGAGACTTATCGGGTTTGAAATGTTTCGAATTAACGCTATATTTATTCATTCAACTACAAATGAATATCGTCACCTCATGAAGTCTGGGCGCGCCGCCTGTAGACCGACAGAGAGAGAGGAAATCCCTACATATAGAGACTTTTCGGTTTAAAATGTTTAGAATGAGCGCTATCTTTATTCATTCAACTACAAATAGATATCGTCACCTCATAAAGTCTGGGCGCGCCGCCTGTAGACCGATAGAGGGAGACGAAATTCCCACATACATGTATAGAGACTTTTCGGTTTAAAATATTTACAATGAGCGCTATCTTTATTCATTCAACTACAAATGGATATCGTCACCTCATGAAGTCTCGGCGCGCCGCCTGTAGACCGATAGAGGGAGAGGAAATCCCTACATATAGAGACTTTTCGGTTTAAAATGTTTAGAATGAGCGCTATCTTTATTCATTCAACTACAAATAGATATCGTCACCTCATAAAGTCTGGGCGCGCCGCCTGTAGACCGATAGAGGGAGACGAAATTCCCACATACATGTATAGAGACTTTTCGGTTTAAAATATTTAGAATGAGCGCTATCTTTATTCATTCAACTACAAATGGATATCGTCACCTCATGAAGTCTCGGCGCGCCGCCTGTAGACCGATAGAGGGAGAGGAAATCCCTACATATAGAGACTTTTCGGTTTAAAATATTTAGAATAAACGCTATCTTTATTCATTCAACTACAAATGGATATCGTCACCTCATGAAGTCTGGGCGCGCCGCCTGTAGAAAGATAGAGGGAGAGGAAATCCCTACATAAAGAGACTTTTCGGTTTAAAATATTTAGAATGAGCGCTATCTTTATTCATTCAACTACAAATGGATATCGTCACCTCATAAAGTCTTGGTGCGCCGCCTGTAGACCGATAGAGGGAGAGGAAATCCCCGCATACATGTATAGAGACTTTTTGGTTTAAAATATTTAGAATAAACGCTATCTTTATTCATTCAATTACAAATGGATATCGTCACCTCATGAAGTCTGGGCGCGCCGCCTGTAGACCGATAGAGGGACATATAGAGGAACAGAGATAGAGGAACATATAGAGACTTTTCGGTTTAAACTATTTAGAATGAGCGCGCACTATGAAATTAAAACCCATTAAAATCTGAGGGCAGTTATATAAGGCGATGATATAGGCAGTAAAACCATTTAAGACTCGAACATTGCGAAGTGATTAGAGCGATGGGTTGTTGTCCACCATCGACCATTTTTGGACATCGCGAGTCAGTTAATTATGCGAGTTCGCAAGCCCACCGTTGCATACAAATTAGTACAGCTCTGCAGGAAACTGAACAAGGATCAATTGAACAACACGTGACTTACAATTGCGAGCAATAAAGTTTTTTAAAAAACTTTATTAAAAACCAATAACAAAAAGAGTCAAATACACAGCGATTTGAGAGGAAAAGGATTGAAAATTTGAATCGTTTGTCTGACTATTACAAATTCGTTTTCTCCGTTCTATTACGAGGAAAAATAAATAATCCTTCCTTGTCTACACAATTTTCCTATAGCCTCTAAACCAAGAGTTCGACTTTCTTTGTTTCTTTCGGTTTGTCTTGTTCTTTGTAGTTGTTCTTTTAGCTTTTGCTTTAAAAGAGACCTTA